ATCGTTAAAGCCGCCTGCAGAGAGTCTTCGCCCAGCCACCCACTCTCACTCTCTCACATGCGCGTTGCACAATGCACCGCTACTCTCCGAGACTCAGAGAGAGTGCATCTCTCTCTCTCGCTGGCAGAAACAGTGTCTCTCAAAAGTCAACTGCCAGAAAATTTCAAAGCCGGCAGCAAGCTCGTGCATGCATTGGCATTCGTGAGTTGCTTTTGCTTCTCCCGAAGAGCCGGGACATGTCGTTGCATGTCGTACCAGTAGCAACATCAACACGAGACACTCGGCAGTGGCAGTTGCAGCATCAACATCAGTCGCTTCCGTTGGCTGCCAGAGAGACCACCACCAGCATAAACGTGTTCGCTAAAACAGTCTTTTGATAGCCACTTTTGACAATATTTTTGTAGTCAGCGGCCATAAAACAATAATTGGCCCTTATGGGGAATCCTTCGGTCGCTTAATCGCTCCTTCCAAACGTGATGGAATAATGGCATTAATATGAGACTCTTCTGTCTCTCGGATTAACGTAGTTTTTTTTATAAAAATAAAAAAAATAACATATATACGTATGTCGCAAAGTAATAACATTAAAAGTCTGACTCCTCCAATGCTCAATAAATTGTATATGAGTTCGGAGGAATTTACATTTCTGCCGCGGTAAGTAGACTTCAATTTTTTTTTCTGCCATTTTCCGCAGGATACTTGGTACTTGTTGTTGTTGTTTGTGTTGTAATGTCGGGGAAAATTTGATATGACAGGATGCTAATGGAATGCAAATGGCAGTACACGGGGTTATTTGATATATAGAGGTGAAGTTTTACCGGAAATTACGTGGAACGGAAAGAAAGAGGTGGAAATATAGGGGGAAGTTTAAGGGGATTATTGAAAGAGAGGTTATAGATGTAGATGATTTTAGTTTAAAGAGGGTTTGGATGTAAAAGATAGATAATCTTAATATAAATGAGGTTAAGATAATAAGTTTTATCTATAAAAAGGCAAAAAAAAGGATAAGAGGTCCTTGAAATAGAAATAAATAAAAAAAATCATTTAATAAGCGACGCTGACTCATATTGTACGGCTCAAATCATAGGGAATGGTCGATAGGAGTATAGAATAAATTCTTACGAAGTCTAAGATTACGAGGAAGAAGGGTTAGAGAGAGTTACTCAGATAAGACTTTAAGTATAGTTTCTGAAGTATAGAAGTATATAAAATCAATAGATACCAATAGAAAGTACGGATAGTAGAACCTAAGAGGATATCTTTAGAATCTCATTAAGATAAAGATAAAAAAACCTGTTAATTAATAAATAAAACTAACTATAAAAGATTAAAAGCTTAAAAGATTAAAAAACCGGAAGCTTAAATAATCCCTAACCCTCCACACACACACTCTTCCTCCACCCATTCTCACCTTGTTACCTGTTAAGTTTAACCCTTAGTCTAACCCCACTGTAGCAATTGTGCGTATTATCCCCACCCACCCCACTATCTTCCGCCAACCATCAAGTTGCAGTTAACTGATGGATTCGACACTCTGGCAATCTACTTTGCATGATTCTTCCAGCACATGTCCAAGTTGTCTTCGTTGTGTCTCTCTTGGAAAAAGTTTTGTCATCACAGCTAGGGCCCCCCCTCCTTTCTACACACACACACCACCCAGCCCCCCTCCAAACTATGCATATTCATGAGAGTATGATTATTCCAGGCAGCACTCACTCTGTCACACCATGTAGAGTCTATAAGCCATCGGCATTCCACTCATTCTTCTACCATTGACTTTGCTTATCGCGCATTGAACTCTGCTGTGACCTGAAGGCTCACACATACGGGGATACTAATGGAAGAGAACAAAGGAGGTCATAATAGTAGGATTAATTAAGGAGTTCAAATAATTAAACATTAATAAAAAATTTTATTTTTTTTATGGTTTGATATCTTATTTATTTTATTTTATTTATTTTTTTTAATTATGTTTTGAAAAGCCCTATTATTTTAACCGCAATTGTAATCTATACCTGCTTAACTTTGCATTGCATGCTTTGCATTCATTCTTTGACTGCCAGTTTGTTTGTTCTTTTTTTTTCTGCGCTATCCGTTTACCCCTTATTTTTTTTTACCTGCCATTCAGGTGGTTTCCCTTTTGCGCTTTATTTATCTAGCCAGAGCTTTCATGTTTTTTTCGGCTCCTCCACTCTCCAACTCTTCTACAAGCCCCCCTCTTCTGCCTCCTCTCTTAATCAGCTCTTTAGTGGGCCGTTATATGTTAGTAATGTGTAGGGGTGTGTGTGTGTGTATTCTCTTCTTCTTCTTTTTATTGGAGTTGAATTGCAAATGCAAGCGGCGTTGCCTACTTTTTTGAGCAAACCAGAGAGGATCCTAACAAATGGCTTTCTAAAATGTTGCCCAATCAAGCGCGAACGAATTTTTGACTTTTATGGGTTTCCTCTAATTGTTATGCAAACGGCTGTTGGCTTTCCTCCCCCTCCCCCTCCCAACCCCCAAGATATGAGATCTCCGCCAACCTTATCCCTTTGCACTATGGGGTTTTTGACCTGTTTTTGTGGCATTAATTAATAACTCGGTCAGTTTTGGAGATATCGACATGAAACTTTACCAATCGTTGTTATTTGATCCTAGGCACATATAGTATGAAAATCGTTCGGATCAGGAAACTATATCCTATAGCTCCCATAGGAACGATTTGGTAAAAGTAAAGATAAATTAATGAAATTTAAGGAGCTGATATTTGTTGCTATTTTAATACGATATAGCAATTTTGAACCAAATCGGACAACGCTTTCCTTGGGAACTGTCAGTTTAAAATACCGGATTTCAGTGTTCTTCCATACAAATGCATATAAAAGTTTAAAAAGAAAAATTCCTTCATACAGTAGTATTAATCTTATTATTCTTTTTTTTTTTCATTTTCTATAATATATCAATATTATCTAAAAAAAAAAGCTGGAATCGTTAAATTCGTCATCTTCGAGACAAACATTATTTTCGTATTCGTACGAAAGCATCTCAATTACCTCAATTGGAAGTAAAAGACTCTTTAGTTTTTTATGCATCTCGAAAAATTAAGGACGAAATAATTTGATCTAATGTATCCATAGCTCTGTTGAACACATCAGCGATGGAATGTAATCGGTAGTGTTTTCTTAAATGGTGACGCCTGTCTGATTTATACAGCTTGTTTCAGGACTCAGACGCTTCTTCTCCAAAATAGCCGACTGAAAGCACCGTATTTACCATTACTTCCATTAAAAACTGGTGGCTTTTTTTCAAAACGGCATTATCCACATTGTTATTTGCATGGCGTTACAAAAAAAACATTGTACAGCCATTTGATGCTCAGCCCGGCCCCTTTCGCTGTTCCAAGCAGCGACCAAGTCGGCTTTTGGAGAAAGTGAGGTTATCTAAGAAAAATTCAAATTGCACCAATAGTGGAGAAAAGTGCACAATAAGACTAACAGCCTTTGCTCAGTATTGACAACGCTACAACATACACTTGGACGCATTGAAAACTTTTTATTCCTTCTATTTCAAAACTCTTCCCAAAGTTGAAATTTGTTTCCCAAAATTCAGCTTAAGGTGCATCTATAAAATGACAAAATTTTAGTATAGACACGCACAATTTAAACAGATAATACATTTAACATGTAGTACAAACCTGTGAAATCAGTGTCCATTACTATTTTTCTTTTTAAATGGAGTTTTAAACAAATAATCTAATTTGACAAATCACTATGTGAAAATTGCAAACTTAGCGCACGTGCTTTCGGATGCAACAGCTGACTTTGCAGCTGTTATGCTAGCATATGGTGCTAATAATTAATATTTTGAGTATGAGGCATAATAGTTTGATGTTTTCTTAATACATTCCCATTAATTGTTTTTAAATCAGAGAACTTTCAAAAAATGATTAAATGCCACATAAAGTGGTCAAAAACCCCATAGTGCTTTGGTTGTGGTGCCCCCATTTCGTGGTTCAGGCCGCGACCGCATCGGCAAGTTATGGCAGCAATTAAAAGTTTTGTGCTGAGCACTTGAAAAAATGCCAAACCCACCAGATACCCACCAACCCAGTAGTTTCCCTGCCATTCTAGTTCTCCTTTTAGAAAACGCAAATTATTTCTCTCTTGAAGTTGCAATTAACATCTTTTGTTTGTCAGCCACGCAAATGTTGCAAAAAAAAGCTATACCTCTTTCTAATAAATAATCAATGTACATATTTTTAATGGGGCACCCAGACTCAAGTGGTAACTGAGACCCAAAGCAAATAAATACCAACAAACGAACAAAAAAAAATATAAAAAAAATCGAGAATAAGAAGTCGTGGCATAAAGCCCTCTATGCCCCCCATAATACCGCCGACAATGCTGTGGCAAAGTACAGTGAAAACCTGGCACAACTCCAAATGTATTTCGGCTGTAGTGGGTGGCTGGGTGGTGGTTGGGTGGAAAAATTTCTTTGGCTTTTCCGGGATACTTTGGCGCCCGCATTAGTGTCGCCCTATTGACGGCCATTGTGATGCCATAATTTCTTGCCCCATTTGAGTGGGTTGCAGGTTGTTGCACTTCCACATAATAGAATAGAATAGAATAGAAAAGGGAGAATAGAGGACAGTGTGCTCTAAAAATGGAGATGGTAGGTAGTGAGTGAATGAAAGTGGAAATTGATCAGAGAGGCGGAAGTTACTTTCGAGGTGACTTATTAATTTCAGAGAAAGGGTTTTCAATAAAGATACATAATAAAATCCACTTTAAAGGATTTTTGTACCACTGTACTCTTTCTAAAGACGTCTGGGCGGATTACTTCCTGTTGCTTTAGTTTGTGCCATTTCTGAAGAGAAAGAAAGAAAGACTTTCTTCTTAGCCCTCGGCTGTTGTTTCGGTTGACGATGACGACATTAAAAATTCATATTATAAAGTCTGAATGATTCTTTTGTGGATTTTTGTGCCTCCAGCACTGACCAAGTAATTTGTTTTTTCTTACAGCATTGCTGAAGAGAAAAAGAAGCTGGGCAACGACCAATACAAGGCACAAAACTACCAGAATGCACTCAAGCTCTACACCGACGCCATATCCTTGTGCCCGGACTCGGCCGCCTACTATGGCAATCGTGCCGCCTGCTACATGATGCTGCTCAACTACAACAGTGCCCTGACCGATGCCCGGCATGCCATCCGGATCGATCCTGGTTTCGAGAAGGCCTACGTCCGCGTGGCCAAGTGCTGTCTGGCATTGGGCGACATCATCGGCACCGAGCAGGCCATCAAGATGGTCACGGAGCTCAACTCGCAGAGCACAGCCGTCAGTGGGGAGCAGTCGGCGGTGCAGAAGCTCCGCCAGCTGGAGACCACCATTCAGAGCAACTACGACACAAAGGCCTACCGCAATATGGTCTTCTATCTGGACAGTGCCCTAAAGCTGGCACCCGCCTGTTTGAAGTGAGTCCTAATCCTAGAGTCCTGGAATCCATAACTAATCTCTAATCCATTACAGGTACCGCCTTTTGAAAGCCGAGTGCCTGGCCTTTTTGGGTCGCTGCGATGAAGCCCTGGACATTGCCGTGGGTGTTATGAAGTTGGACACCACCTCGGCGGATGCCATTTATGTGAGGGGCTTGTGCCTGTACTACACTGACAACCTGGAGAAGGGCATCCTGCACTTCGAGCGCGCCCTGACCCTCGATCCCGATCACTACAAATCGAAGCAGATGCGCAGCAAGTGCAAACAGCTCAAGGAGATGAAGGAGAACGGCAACATGCTCTTCAAATCGGGTCGGTATCGCGAGGCACATGTCATCTACTCCGATGCCCTGAAGATCGACGAGAACAACAAGGACATCAACTCCAAGCTGTTCTACAACCGAGCTCTGGTCAACACACGGATGGGCAACTTGCGGGATGCGGTGACCGACTGCAGTCGGGTGCTGGAGCTGAACAGTCAGTATCTGAAGGCGTTGCTGCTGCGGGCCCGTTGCTACAATGATCTGGAGAAGTTCGAGGAGTCGGTGGCCGACTATGAGACGGCACTGCAGCAGGAGAAGTCGTCGGATATCAAGCGACTGCTGCGCGAAGCCAAGTTTGCGTTGAAGAAGTCGAAGCGAAAGGACTACTACAAGATCCTTGGCATCGGCCGCAATGCATCCGATGATGAGATTAAGAAGGCCTACCGCAAGAAGGCCCTGGTGCACCATCCCGATCGGCATGCCAACAGCAGTGCCGAGGAGCGCAAAGAGGAGGAGCTGAAGTTCAAGGAGGTGGGCGAGGCGTATGCCATCCTGTCAGATGCCCGCAAAAAGCAGCGTTACGACAGCGGCCAGGACATTGAAGAGCAAGAGCAAGGTAAAGGTTCTTAAATTACGATTATACATATTTAAATAATAATATTATATTTTTGTATTTTTTTTACAGCCGACTTTGACCCGAACCAAATGTTCCGTTCATTCTTCCAATTTAATGGCGGCGGCGGCCGGAATTCGTCCTTCAACTTTGAGTTCTAAGACCTTGCTCCTCCATAGAGAACATAGCACCTCGACTCCCATTTCTGCCTCATCGGAAGCCAAACACAGCAGCGCACACATTTCAAGACCTTTGTTTTGCATACTTTCCTATCCAACCACACCATGTTTTTGTTTTTCTTTTTTTTTTTAGAAAAAAAAACGTCAATTTATATTGAACTTCGGATTTAAAACCAGCAAATTTAAAGTGTATATTTAAATGTTTTTTTTCTTTTTGAAATTATTGGCGGCATAATAAAATCAAACAAAAATAAATTTTTAAGAAAAAAAGAAAAGTTTAAAGTTGTTGAGTCGCCTGCTCGTGTGTGTTCGGATTTAAAAGAGGAGTAGCTGATTAATTAATGACTAAAAAAAAAACAAGCGTAGCCTTATTGTCTAACCATTTTAATTTTTACTCATTAAGCCAGGCACTTAAGTTATCATTCTAAGTTTAAAACAAAAAAAAAACAAAATTGAAGAAATGATGTTAAACAGAAATCCAAAAATCAATCAAAACTAATAACGATGATTTGGGTATTTCGTTATTATATAATGGAGATAATAATATATAATACGAGAAAGCATCAAGTATATAATGTAAACAAGTGAAATAGTTTGTTTTACGGGTGTTTGGGGTTCTGCGATAGACTTACTTAGTTTTTAAATAAAAAATAGTGGTTTTGAATTTATTTTACGTTAAAAATAACCGCCATAAAACTGTCACAAGCGGCTGTTGCTAAGTCGACTTAAATAAATTTATGGAAAAATATTTTATTTTTAAAAATTAAATTTTTGTTTGTAGAGTTTTTTGCTTTTATGTTTTATAAAGATTGGATTTTCTTAGGTTACTTTTAAGGTGGTATTTAATTACTGCTTTGAAGAACTGCTTGGTCTGCTTTCAACGCAAAGCTCAATCCAGAAAGCAGTTTAACCAAGCAGTTTTCTAGGGGCATCCAACAAGTATGCTGTATTTTTTAAATATATCGAGGCATGAGGAAATGAATGCAAAATAGCAATTTTTAAATGAAAAAATTAAATATTTAAAATTGTTTGTTAATAGAGAAAATCCCAATATTTTAGGTTTAAAAATACTTCAGCATTTGTATCAAATACTAAATCTTTTTCCGATTGTTTTTGTTATGGTTCGTTCCAGGCTGATGGCTATATCTTCCCCAATTCTCATCCGTTTCTTAAGCGGAGTACCTTAAACGATTTGTAGGTCGATTCTCCACCATTCTGCATCAAAATCCTGAGACAAAATATTTTTGATATTTTTTGTCCATTTTTCGTGAAGGGATCCCTTGAAAATGGGATTTTCCCCTATAGGGCCCACTGTGATGGCTATATCTTCCCCAATTCTCATCCGATCCTCAAGCGGATCGATTTGTGGATCGATTCTCCACCATTCTGCATCAAAATCCTGAGACAAAATATTTTTTAGATTTTTTGTCCATTTTTCGTGAGGGGATCCCTTGAAAATGGGATTTTCCCCTATAGGGCCCACTGTGATAGCTATATCTTCCTCAATTCTCATCCGATTCTCAAGCGGAATACCTTAAACGATTTGTAGGTCGATTCTCCACCATTCTGCATTAAAATCCTAAGAAATCCAAAAATCATATCCTCCATAAAAAATAAAAATAAACTCTACCTTACCTCCTCGAAGATAGTTGAGCTTCCAAAGGTATCCGGTAGATGGCTTTTTCGCATCGTTGCTTCATTTTGAATAAAAAACGGTTGTTACAATGCTTGTCAGACAAATAGGTACACACATTTATTTACGTTTTTAGCAGCTGTTTACACATTCACGAAAAACCAATTTTTTAACCTTCCACACGCAGTCACACACACGTTTGCACATCGATGCCAAACAAATTCTCGCTAATTTTACAGACAATTAATTTATACACATACAATTTAAAAATTTTTACACTTGACTTTTATGGTTTTTTTTAGGTTTGGACTTTATTTTCCTTTTCTAGACTAAGGTAAAAACTAGAGCTAAAAAAAACAGGCATCAGCAAAAGCCGAGCTGCATTTCATTATCATCAAGTAACCATCTATCTCTTTCTCTCGTTTATGTGACTAACTAATTTGCCCATATTTTTTTTTAAATTTAATATATACATATACATTTATATATATATATATATTGTATATTCATATAAATTAATTCAATGTTTCTGTGTTTTTTTTTGCTCTGCTTTGCTTTGCATATAAAAATAAAAACTACTTAAATATTATGCAAAAATCATTAGGACCTAAAAAAAAATAAACACGAAAATGTACAATGTTTTGCTTTGCTTTTTAGTTTTTTGTTGTTTGTTGCTTGTTGTTTCTTTAACGAACTAGTGACGACAGTATTTTTTGTATAATATAGGTATAAAGTTTTGCGGTTTTGCTTTTTTGTTGGTTTTTGGGTTTTGGGATTGGATTGGTGACTTTTCGACGACCAGACTTATGTGACTAAGAAAACATCTTTGTTTCAAAATAAGGTACAATGATATATATATATATATTATTTTTATCCATTTACATACACACACATATATCCATATACATAGATATATACATATATAGAAAAACATACATAGGTATTTGCAAGCTCTTTGTTGGGAGCTTGACTTTTTATTTTTTAGCAGCCGCTTTTCCTTGTCTTTACAATAATTTTGCTTACTTTTTTTTTTTAATGATTTAGAGCGAGGTCTATTTGTATATCGAGCCGGAACAAATCAGCAATCAGATAACACCTAGAAGTGGACGATCCATCATGCCTCATCAAAGAAACAAAATATTAAAAAAAAATAAAAAATAAAACAATCGACTAATATAATGTAGCTATAAAACATGGCAAATGCTTAGTTTTCTCCTCTCCCCCTTGTTTTCTATTTAGCGGTTATCTATGGTCTATGTAAAGTGTATTTTATTAGGTAATACTGAGATTCTGTTAGATGTCTCAGGTATGTCGCGACCCCATTTGCCCAGACCCACTCTAACCCTATCTAGTATCTATGTATTTTATTTAATCTTTAATATTGAAGTTGTGGACAACAAGCAGCCCTTCGAACAGAATAGAAAGTAACTTTGGTTTATGTTAAATGTTGTATTTTTAAATCCGCAGGCGAGATGGATGATAAAATATATTAAAAACCATTAAAAACAGATTAAAAATAATAAATAGAATTTATTTTAGTTAAAAAAACATCCATCTCTGCCCTCTCTGGTCTATAAGTACCTTTATGAAACTCCTTCTAAGTAACGCCGCCCCTGGTTTGCAAAGCTTTGTACAAGTTGGTGACCCCGAGTTGGTGACCCCGACTTCCTGTGGCCAGAACTAAAAATAAGTTGTACTGTTTCTGTATAATTGGTTTTAGTTGATTCTCTCGCTTGACTATTTTTTTTTCTTTCTACAAATGGAATTGTGTGTGTCTTCCAAGTTCTTCATTTGCCATGTTGCACGGCGAGTCTGGGTGGTGCCCCTAGCCGGATCTTGTTCAAGCCCATCCCGACACCCAGTCCAATACCGATACCCAGTCCCGCCGTTCCATTAACCCCACCTGGACCCGCACCCGCACCCGCTCCCGCTGCCGTCCACTTCTTGAGGCGCCACTGTCACTTGGGCTGAATCCGGGCGGAGCGTTCCAGCTCATTGAACTGTCCGTAGTACAGGACCTCGCTTATCAGCTTCTCCGCTATGATCCTCTGGGTGCGATCCATCGTCCGCAGCTTGAGCGCCACATTCGAACCAATGAAGTCGCAGTCGTCGCGATTCAAGGACTCGGCATAGTAGGCCGATGTTACCGCCGCCTGGGCCGACACGCTGCTCTTGATGTGGCCCGGACTGGCGGCCGATTCGGTGGCTTCGTCATTATCCGGATCGGGGTCCTCGCCATCCGACATGCTCTCCCTGGAGCCCAACAGCGAATTCATCAGCATGTGTCCCGCACTAGAGGCTTCGGTTAGCTTTCGCATATTTAAAGGCATTGTGGGCATTGTGGACGAGGTTAGGTCGCTGTTGCGCGGCGGCAAGACAAAGGCCCCAAAATTGGCCTTGGCCTGGGCCACCCGCAGATCCTGGGCCATGTCCACCAGCGGCAGTCGGCTCTCCTCGCCGGCGGAGCTGTAGGAACGATGCGATTCGGGTGGTGGGGGTGGTGCGCCGCCTCCTCCCACCACACCACCGGCTTGGCCATGAAAATAGTCCACCAACTCTTGCTTGATGTCCAAATCCTCGTGGCCATGTTGATGTTGTTGTTGTTGCTGCTGCTGCTGTTGTTGTTGCTGGTGGGGATGGGAATGCGGGTGGGATGTGTGGTGGTGGAGCTGCTCGTGTGCCTGCCGCGGGGTGACAGCTCTGGCCGAGACTGGACTATTCAGCAGGTGATTCTTGTGCGCCTCGTGCATGTTTGTATTTGGTATGGGACTGGAGCCCGTTTCACTCAACGCTCGCTCGGATCTCATGGAATCGCTGGCTGGATCGTTGGCCTCCCGACTACTGGAACCGCCGCCTCCGCCCACACTGCCACCTCCAGGACCTGCCCCTCCCGCCGGCGATCTCCTTTCCACTTTTGCTGCCAGTTGGCCCAAAGCTGCCGCCGCCGCCACATCCTCCTTGCTGTTGTTGTTGTCCTCGTTATCCGACGTGTCCATGGTTTTCAAAGGACTCTGCTGGAAATCGCTGCTACTGCTTCCGCCTCCACCGCCTCCTCCTCCTCCTCCACTGTGATAGCTCATGGGCAGGGGCACTCTTAGCTGCTGGGGGGGCGGTGCTACGCCGCCACCGCCGCCACTGCTTCCTCCGCGATCCGATCCACCGCCACCCGAGCCGGATATCGGGGGAGAGTACTGACCCGCCGTGTTCCAGCTGTCCAGTGTCTGGCTTTGGCTCGCTATCAGCATGGGTATATTGAGGCCCATCTGGAAGAATCGGAAGAAAGAGAACGACTCGTTATAGATAAGTGGTACTGAGGGCTGGGTCCAAAGGTCCCTAGGAACACGTCCGACTCTTCGTCATCGTGACGCAGTCGAAAAAGATTGGCCCACAGAGATAAGTGAGCGAGACGGCCGACTAACTACTTAGGGGCTAATCGGACCTCATAAAGTTATGAAGAAATTTAATTAGGAAGAACCTCTTGAAATTTTACGGGTTTTCCATAAAATATTTTTTAAGAAAATGGTAAAATTCTTAATATATTTCTAAAATTTTTCAAAAATTTGTTGTTTTCTTAAGAAACAACAAGGGTACCTACATACATTTCCTCATAACTTCATAAGAAGTACTTGAAATATCTTAGTACTTTACTTGAAATATTAGATATTTATTTTATTAATAATAGGAAGTGTGGGCACAAAGGGTGTGCCCACACCCTATGGTTCAAAAGGGGGTTTCTTTAAAAAAAAAAAACAGCTTATTATTTCCCCCATTAATTCAAAGGAACTACTTGATATATATAATTTTTCCATTGAAATACCATTTTTTAAAGAATTCTTAAGAATAGGATGGCTGGAAATAAAGAAATATGTGTTGAAAATGTTTGTTTTTTTTTAGAAACAACTGTGACCCAGAAACAAAAAACCCCATTACCTCTCTGAATAATAAAAACCACAGATTTTTATATATTTTAGTAGCCCTATTTTAGTAGTAGCCTTATCTCCCGATCTGCTAATATGTTGATAATAATTCCCGAAAAGTGTGCCATAAGCGTGAGTTTAATAAATTCTTCAGATATCAATGAAAGTGGACTCAATAACTTAATAGTAATGATGACAGTTTCAAAATTCTAACAAATCATGGTTAGTCAGCTAGATTTCAAATCTAATAGAGTTCGAAACTCCAAAGGTTTGTGAACTAAATAATTTATGAAAAATAATTTTAAAAAATTCTATAGCTTGTAAACAACCCAAAAGTTATAAGAGTATCAAAATTCCTGCATAAATATGTTAATTTTTAACAAATTGTTTATTTCCGATTCAAGTAAAATTATTTAGAAATTTAAGCTTTTGTTGTTGTTTTTTTTTGCGCCACATTCCCATTCCGGTCAAACCCCTTGAAAAAAAATGTTGTTTTTGTCAAAGTTCTCGGTAAATGCAAAACATAAATTAAAGCCCGAAAGAGACAAAAGTCTAACCAAATTATGATAATAATGTTAAATAAATAATAATTTGGAATGGTCGAGCAGTCAGACGGTTTTTTTTTGTGTTGCTTGTTTACGATTCTTTGTTTTTTTTCTTTCTGGATTTATATGGCAAACACACGAAGCGATCTGAGCCATTTAGCAGACACACACACACAGACAGGCTAAAAAACACACACACACACAGACACGTCTAAAAAACACCGTAAACCCAGACATACAGGTGCCAAAGTGCGCGAACTTTCAACCCAGACACCCCCTTTCGCCAAACTTACGTTTCCTGAATTATTTGCGATTCTATGATGGATTCCTGGTGATCGCAGATTATTATTAGTATTGTTGGTATTGTGATAATGCATCTTTAACTGGGATTTTTGGTTATCTGAGGTTCTTTTTATTCCAAAAGTTGTGAATTAATGTTTACACTTGTTGTTGCTGTCAGGTTTTTTTTCGTGTGTGCGCGAAAGCGACGGCAACGCGACTCGAACTCGTAATATTTTTGTCCGAAATTATTCTAGCGGCGTAGTAAAAATTTTCGAACACCCGCAAACAACGTGTGAGAGTGGAGCGAGAGAGAGAGCGAGAGCAAAAAAGCTAAGAATCTAAGAGAGTTTGGGGGCCAAGTGGGGAGGGAGGGAGAACTTTTAAGAGAGATCAAGGCTTGATTCACTTGTCTTCTGATAATGTATGGGTGACTCATTAAGAGTATCATCATCATCATCGGCTAAAACTGTAAATTGTCTATATAAAATCGAAATAAAATCTAAATCAAAACTCATCATGATAGTATTTCTAAAATTAAGTAAAAATTACATCACCTCTAATCTAACACTCGATAACAACAAACTAAAAAAAGTAGTCATAAATTAAATCGAATGGAATATCAACTCTAGCAACAATGTTTGTTGTCTTTTTATTAACAACTTTTTCATATGTCACCATTATTTGCAAGAGAAAAGTCTCGAAACTATTTTAAAGAGAGCTCTTTTGTTTTTTGCAAAGAGAGAGGGCGCTTTTAATGGTCATTAGCATTAACCTACCCCACGTTTCGGGCCGCACAACCACAACTACAATAAAAAGTTTAATGTGGCGATCACAACAAGTGTATTGTTTCCCGCTCGCACAGCTCGAACTTGGGCTCTGCCCATCTCTGTCTCTGTGGTGATCTCTTTGATTTTGTCATATCGTCTTTTTCGTTGTCGCCTAGAACTTTCCATAAACCAAAAAATACTTTGAAAAAATACCGAAAGTTTAAAAGTTCAATGATCTTGTCTAAAATAATTGTGTTACTATTTTTTTTTGATTTATTATTCATTTTATTCACTTTTCTTTTCTATTTTTAAATCTAATTTTTGTTTATTGGGGCATTCCGAGAATAAGAGTTCAACCTGGGTTGTTTATTTTGTTGTTGCCTTTGCTGCCACCACTCTCCCCCCCACCCAATTGCTATCTCCCTTTCTCCTCTGCATGTTGTTATTATTGTTGCAGCTGCTTTTGTTGTTTACGCATTCAGAGCACCGTGTGTACTTGTGTGCGTGTTTGTGCATGTCTGTATTATTATTTTGTTAAGGCAAATAAAATAAAACAGACAAGAGAATGAACTCGCGCTCTCACTCGCACTTTCTCTCTCTCCTTCACCCGCCCACTCTTTCTCCATCCGCATACATGTGTGTGTATGCAACTGAAAAATGTAAACAAACTGATTATCATCCAATCCAATGAATAAATAACACACTACACAAACTACGCGTCGTCGTCGTCGTCGTCGTCGCCGCTGTTTCTACTCCTTTTGGCACGAAATGCGCCTCCCCCTGGCGGTCTGTCTCTTCCGCCTGCCGCCCTGCTCTCTTTCTCCTTGTCACCTCTATTCACAATTGTCGCAAAACTGCATACCTATCCCACTCTCCCACAGTACTTTTTCCATAATTTTAACTGTTAATTGTACTTTTAAGAGAACTATTGTTTTTAGAGAGTTAGGGGTGGCTCTAAGGGAGAGTTAAAATATTACTTATTACTAAATATTAATAATTTAACTAATCCTGATACCCCCTCGAAAAAACTATCCACCCCACTGAATTACAACTGTATCTGGTACTGTATTTTCGTGCTCACGCAATTGTTTTTGAAGTACAACGTTGGTGATATTTTCACAAAAGCGCATACAACAACAGCAAATGCGGTGCACCTAACAAAAACAATAACAACAGTTACTGCTACACTAACATTAATGAAACTGCCATGAAAACCGCAAGCGCAAGCGCCGCACTCAAAACCCCCAGTTATCCCGCCTGTACCCCCCACCCCCCATTCGTCACTGGTGAAAAAAGAGGATTTACCCGGAGAGTCGAGGGGGAGTCGTAAAAATTAACAGTGGAACAAATTGCAATTGAAAATGCATTGCGGTGTGTGACGCGACTGTCACCTGGCAGGTGCCAAAGCCAGAGTTGCCAAGTGTCAGAAAATAAAAACTCTAATCTCCTAAAAGCTTCACATGAAGAAAGAATATAAAAAACATTTTATTTAGTAATATTACTATTTTTATAAATTTTATTTCTAAAACCCATTTCTTAAGTGTGTATTTAACTCCAATAATATGTTTCATTATCCTTAACCTTTTCAAATCTATTTAATTATCCCCCCTCCCCCTATCCACCCACTTTAACTATGTTTTGAAACCGGAATTCAAAAAATTCTTACGCAACTTCCAGCAAACTTCCACTCTTCAAACTCCAGCAAACCCCTTAACCCCACCCTAATTCGCCACCCACTGCCTTAAACTTCATTATGGCCACCTCTCAACATTACCATCATCATTATCATCATAGAAAAAAAAAAACAAAAAAAAAAAACAACCATACGCGCTGGCTCTAAACAACTTTGCAATGAATGAGTAAACAAAAACAAACGCTGACTTCGCTGCCGGCGGCAACCAACGCCATGCTGCTGCTCTGCTGACTGCAGTTTTGTTGTTGCAGTTGCTGCTTATTTGCCTTGCACTTTTCATTCCACCACCGCAGGGGGTGTGGATCGAAAAAAGAGATGGAGTCACAGTGGGGATAACTCTGCATGAGTGTAAGAGTGTATGTGAGTATGGGTTATAGGCAATGCAAGAGAAAACAAAACAACGCGAATTACACCCGTGATACTTTGCAACTACTGCTCCAGCTACAACAACAAATAAACAAGCAAACAAGAGAAAAGTGCACCAAGAAAAATCTCTTAGATACTCTTACTCTTACAAAGGATATTCTGTATAAAGAAATAAAATATTTTTTTAATATTGGCCTACATGTGGTATACGTAATTTTTAATGGAAATATTTTTTTTTCAAACAATTTTCTTTGAATTTTTTTTATTATATTTTTTATTTTATGAACTAGAATTTTCCAATATTTCTTTAAATATTCAACATTCGACTTGGCCTACATGTGGTATGAGTAATTTTTGTTCCTAAAAATCTCTGACCCCCTAGGCGTATGAGTAATTTTTTTCTATTTTCAAAAATTATAAATCTTATGATTAACAAATAATTCTTAATTTAGAACCAATTATTTATCTAAGTGTTAAAGGGTATTTGGGTTTAGGTGGGTGGGTGTTGTAAGGTGGGGGTGTTCATCGTTGGGTGGCTAATGGGAGGCAGTGCGTGCGTTGCTTCCTAGCCACAACATTGCGGGACAACAAACCGAAACAACAACAAAAATATTAGCTTCGTGTCTTCTTCCTACTCTCGTGTTGGTTATTGTTTTTGTTGTTCTTGTTGTTCAACTTGTCTTGAGGAAAACACCGCAGAGCAAAACAATTGCAAAATATGAACAAAAATACATAACAATGAGAGGGGTGGGGGGAGTTGGGTGGTGGTTGGACCGTTAGTGGGTGGGCGTGGGCGGTGCTTGCACACGCAAATAATAATGACGCAGAGCCAGAAAAAACAACACGAGACCAAAGCCAAACCAACAAAAAAAAAAGAAACAACGGTAGCTAGAAAGCTAAAATTAAAAACAAAAAACATTTCTAAAGGTGGTATAAGAGGGTGGTTCGTTTTTTAAAAGAGGAGTTGGGTGGGATTTCTTCAAGAGGACTCTAAAGAAACAATAATAATAATTATAAGGATATGCGTTTAATTGAAATATTAAAATTAAATAATATTTTTAAGAAAAATCAGGCCTTACTTATGCTTTCCACAAAAAAACCTAAAAAAAAACCAAAAGGTGACACGAGTTGGACAAACAAGTTGCATGCATTTGGCCCAACCAAACCCCAAAAAGCACCCACCCACAGCCAGGCTAGCAAGCCACATATTCAAAAAAAAAAGGCCAGGCGCCAAGTTTTATATTCTTTTTTCTTGACAAAAAAAAAATTTCATTTCTGAAAACAACAGCAAAAAAACGAACTCAGAAAACAGAAAATAACTCCCGCCACCCACCTCCCACAATTCCTTGGCATTTTGTTTTGATAAGTCTGACAAACAACAGAGCCAAGTAAAAACAAAAGCTTCCAACGAATCTCAACGGACAAGGACGGCATGAATCGGGGCGAGAGAGCGAGGAATAGAGGCGTCCACTGGGTAACCACAAAACAAAACGTCACTACAGGCAACAAAAACAAGTGGCACGAAGGGGAGTTTTAAGACCTAAAAGTTGCTAGAGAGATGGGATTTTTTAATTGCTTTATTTGAATTCTATTAGTAATCTACTAGTAGATAATACTAGTAACTACAAATATTTGGTCTTTTTATACATACTCTTGTATAAGGTTTTAATTAAATAATATTATTATTATTTTTTATACAAACATTCCTATTCCTATTTTAGTGATAAGATAACACCGAAGACACCCTTTTAGGTCTAAAACTTATATCGATAATAAACGATAGCGCTTCTCTAATACAAGCTTAAGGACGATATATCGATTAAAGCTTTAAGAGAGTGGTATCGAATTTGGTCCATCGCCAAGAAAAAGAATAAACGGTAATCCGGCAAGATCCTGCCACAGAGAAGAAGAAAAAGTTCATGCTCTTTGTGTCTAAACTTTCTCCTAAAACCATAATTACCCCTTAAGAAAGGGTATCCAATAATAACTACTGAACCGAACGGAACCAAACGTAACCCGAAAACAAAAATCGCCTCAATCGTGGCAAGTGCTGCGTCTCCGTCGCAGTCTCTGTCTCAGTCGACGTCTCTCAGCCGGCGTCGCATTCGCGAACACATTTCGCCGTGCAAAACAAACATTTCATCATGCAGAGCAACAATAATAACAATAACAACAAAAACAACAACAGCTACAAACGAAAAGCACATACGACCGTATGGGGGGAGGAGGGGTGGGCGCTGAGAGAAAGAAGAAGAGCGGCGACGAAATGTCAGGGCCCCCAATCTTTCCCTCTCCCTTCCACTCATATAATACACTTTGTGCCTGCCTGCTTGCCTGGCGCGACAACGCAAATAAAAACAACAAAAGCAACAACAAACGCAGACAGACGCTGTAAGAGCTAGCGAGCGGGAGCATTCGAGAGCGGGAGGGGGCAGCTGGGGCCAATGCCTCACACACACACTACTGCGCATTTCTAAGAAAAATTTATGCGTATAATTTTAATACTGTTTTGATCGTCAACAACAAAAAAAAAGCACACACACACACACATACACTTTTGTACATACAGGGGGTGGTGGGGCAAATGAGAGAATGAGAGCTTTACTCTCCGTAACACAAAACAGCAAGTCACTTGCGCACATGTTTGCATCAGCTCTCCTGATGAGTGCTCTCTTTTGGCGCACTCTCTTCGGCGGGGGCTAAATTGGTCTTCTCTTTTTGGCAACGCTTTCGCTTGTTTTGATTGAAATTAACACTAACCGTTTGGTTTTCCATGTTTTGGACACTGATAAGCTCTTAAAAAAGTGTGTGAAATGAAAATAAACACGTAACGCCGCAACTCATGCCGAAAATTCGTTGCTAAGCAAAATCGAAGAAACACGTTTTAGTTCAGTAAACTTTAAAAATAGAAACCCCTTAAAAAATTCAAAAGAATTGGACTTCCAATCAAAATGATAAGAGAATAGTTTTTAGTAAAAAATTATTGTATATTTTTTCCCCATAATCAATGGCTTTTATTCCCTTTAATTTTTCATCATTTTTTTGAAGTGGACTTTGTCAACAAACCGTTTATTTGATAAGAGTCGTATATAGTCGTCGTATTCAATGAAATACAAATAATTGTGAATGATTGCTTACACACGAACTCACACACACAAATACATACATACATACACATTAAATATCTATAGAATTTCCTGAGCATGATTCAAGGTAATTTTATAAAAAAAATGCTACATATTCTATTATTCTTTAGAAAACTTAAAAAAAAAAATACTCACCGCTCCAAAATATTTCAGTTCCTTGCCCTTGATGCGTCGATGCTGCATCTGGGATCCGGGTGCTCCGCCACCCACTCCAGTGGGGGCGCCACCATTGCCCGCCGCCGCTATCGTACCGCTTTCATAGGCCGCCGCCGCCACAGCTGCTGCTGCCAAGCCATTCAGCCCATTGTGGGCAGCAGCGGCAGCTGATGATGATACGGGATTTGGCACAAGATTACCGCTAGATGGGTTGACCCCTGACCCGGGACCACCGCCACCGCCGGCACTCATACTGCCGCCGCCCGCCTCCATGAAGTCGAACCGCTTGAAGGCATACCACTTGGACGGATTGGGCTGGATGCCCTGGTAGATTTTCAGAAACATTTTGTGCTTCTCCCGCCGGTACTGGGTCAGCAGGACGTTCATCTTCCGCTCCACCTCCGCCTTGCTGCAGCCGAAGCGTTCGGCGATCTCCGACCAGGCCCGGAACCGGCACAGTTTATCCTTGTATTTCGGGTCGGCCCGATTCCAGAGCTCCGTATGGCAGCGATATTGCTCGATCAGCTCGAGGGCATCGTCGTTGGTCCACTCCATGATTTTGGGCGAGGTATCGCCGCCACCCACTTGGTTGCTGCTGCCTCCGCCCCCAACGCTGGGCAGTGGTATCAGCTGTTGAGTGGGCGGGACCGGAATTGGCACGGTGGGGTGGTGATGCAACTGATGCTGATGATGGCTCAGATACTGATGGTGCGGATGTTGATGGGCGGCTGCTTCTGCGGCGGCTACAACACTGGCCGGATTGAAGTTCATTTAGCCACAATCGCAATCGGTGGGTGGTGCTGCTGCTACTTGGCTTCTAGGCTACTTAGTGGCAAGCCGAGCTATCCTCCAAGACTGGAGACTATATCTTCTGGTTGACTATATCTTTGAGACTGACTGAAGAAACTCTCAGGGAATGTCACGCGAAATGCACTCAATCAACATGGTCTTCTTGGGAAATGTCGACTGGGTCTCATTCTCTTTCATTTAGCGATTTTATAACTACTTTTCATCAACTGTAATGAGAAAATGATAAAAAAAATAATTAATTTTAAATTAAAAAATATTTTAAAATTATAAAAAAATCTATAAGAATATTAGGTATTTTTTAAAAATAATTTTGTATATAAAAGACCGTAAAAGTTCGATACTTTAGCCAATAAGCACTGGATTCTTAAAAGAAATATTTTTTTTATCGACTTTTTATCGATTCTTGTAAAAATCTTGATATTTTATTAATTTGTGTAAAAGTGTGTAATATATAGATTATACAAATCTATCACCTCATAAAATGTGTATCCTAACCAAGGCAGATCCTATTTTAAAGCGAAATTTTTAAAAATCAATACATTTATCGATTCTAAATCGATTTTATTTTAAACCTTGATATTTATATATTTTTTCCTTTTACGAAAAGGCCATTATATGGATTATACAAATATATGAGCTCTTTAAAGCTATATCTTGGCCTTGGCCTATTTTTATAGTTCATCCTATTTTTAAGAGGAATTTTTGAAAAATATATACATTTATCGATTTTCTATCGATTTTTATAAAAATCTTTATATTTTTTCTTTTAATAAATAACCGTTATATGGATTATACAACCTCTTAAAAGCTAAATCTTGACCAAGGTGGATCATATTTTCTAGAGAAATGTTTTAAGAATTAATACATTTATCGATTATTATAAAAATATTAATATGTAATTAATTCTTCTATTTAAAAAAAATTGGTATTACATGGATAAAACAAATATATCTCCTCTTAAAAGCTATTTATTAGCCAGGAAGGATACTATTCAATAGGAAACATTAAAAAATTTATCGATTTCCTATCAATCTTAATCCAATCCATCAAATTCTACTATCGATAACTATTAGCTCAGAGTATTCATCATAAGCATGACTGTGTTTTAACCAAATTATCACATTTTAAATGAATTTTAATTCGAAAAAATTGTAATAAAAAGCTGGGAAAACAAGTTTCAAATTCAACAAACATGTGATCATTTTATCTGCGTGTTTGGCTTTATCACAGGGTTTTTCCCGCCATCCAAACATTCCGTACCCGTACCCGTACCCGAGTGGAATGATAAGGTGACTCACTCTACCCCGCCGACACACTCATTCACCATTTGAGCAAAGCATTTTTGCAGTGAATTGTTTACGATCGCTTTTTGGTCATTATTTAATATTATTTTCATTCGAACAGCAACCGGGTTCTGTTCGTCAGAGGTGTTAATCAGAAATGGGAAATTTTCAAGCCAACAACTAAGCATGGCCAAAAGCAAACTTAACATGCCGATCATCACTGAAATAGGCCTCTGTTTGTCAGCATTTTTTACAGTGGACTTGTTAATTGCTTTGATTTTTTATTTGATTTGGCATCTAATTGACAAAATGAAAGTTTATTGCGAAATTTCGTATGACATTTTAAAGGAATTTGCTATAAGGAAGTGATTCTTAACTAAATACCTTAACGTTCTAACTGGATTGCGAATTAAAATTACAAATATTAAGTACAAATATTCTCTGTTAAATTGTTGGCTTTAGAAATTCACAGATATGTCTAGAAAAGTTTCTTTTTGGGAAATAACTAATTTCATAATTTTTGTTTAAACCAAAATAAGTCTATTTAAATAACCAACTTCCCATTATCTCTTAAAATAACTTATCTAAGAACGTACGTTTCCAAGGGTAGATTAGAACCAACAAATTTTATCTGAAACACCATCATGATGTGACGCAAAATTATGAAATACCCTATATAGCCGTGACGTAGCTACAATAGATCTCTTTTTAAATGTCATCCATAAAGACATAGGAAATTCCTTATAACGTTATATATGGAGGGGAAAAACCATAAAATCTGGAATATATATTGCGTTGTTTTCTGAGCTTAATCTGATCAACTTGGCAAACAGAATATCAATCGAAATTAACTTTCCATTCAGTAATTCCCTGAAATGCTTTTTTTTTTTAATCAGTTTATAGAACACGTCATCGCCTAGGTCAGTGGCACTATATATACATAGTATAGGGCTTATAGTTCTATATGGGAATAAAGTCCCGCAGTGGATGATTTGGCAGAAAATTTATAACAGCATTAGCATTTTTGACGTGCAGGCAGGCTTTTGTTTAACAAAAATGTCGCAATCTACGAAGAAAACGCATGAATTGTACTTGTATTTTCTTCTTTCTTTTCTTTTTCTTTTTATTTATTTTGTAAATATGTGTGCAAATGTCACAAGTCAACAGAAACAGAATCAGAAGCAACAACAAACGATAACAAAGATGGCAAGGCAACTGCTCGCGCCTTGTCATTCACAATAGACGGAAGTTTATTTCGCACACGTGCGCTTTCACTCGCACCCAATACCCAGGCCTATATGTATATGCTCTATACTATGCGGCATCTCGCTTTTACATCAATCTTTGTCGAATGTAGTAGATTTTTGCTTCCTGGTCGGACGGTCGGTCGGTCGGTCGGTAGTTGGGTCGCAATTTGCTTTACGTTTTAGCACTTGTCGTTTGAAAAATGCAAAAACTACAAAGGCGTTCAGGGAAATGTATAGGTTTTAAGTATATAAGTTAATACATATGTAATAAAATCTGGTAATTAAAATAAAATAACTTTAGAAAAGTTGAAAAAGCATTTAAGATCCTTTGGAATAAATTTCTTTAAAAACCTCTAGTTTCTTTAAAGATTCTAAAGACCTTTCTGAAACCTATTCCGCTAAGCGCACCTGTATCTACAACTTACAAGGGATATACAAGTCTTAGTGTTTTAGCTTACACATAATTTTATTAAATTAAATTATTTAGTAATCAGTTAGTTTTTCTCTCGCGACAATGTTCGAGAAGTATTTCCTTTTTTTTTGCGCAGATTGCGACGCTGCGCAAACAGCTGGATGATTCATAACGGTAAACTCACGGCGCTCTCCAACACACTCACAAACATACACTCTTAAACAGAGATACGGATATTACCAGAGTTGGATAGAGAGAGGGGAAAAAACCTTAATTTGTTTTTAGTTCAGTTTTGCCTTGCGTGCGGTTTTATTTTATTTTATTTGTCTGAGTTTTTTTTTTTTTTATTTAGTTGTTTGTCTTTTTGTTTGCGCCATACTCTGCGTCAATTTTTAGACGCGACACATTTTAGTCTATTTTTAGAACTTGTTTTTTACGCCACGCTGACTTTTTTACGCACTTTTTCCCCCTAGCTGTCTCCTTCACACACACACACTATCACTCACAGTCACTAGATTTTTCCAATTAGTTTCCGTTATGGCTTAAAAATTTGGAAATTTTTCAAAAATCTTTTGTTGTTTTGCTTTTTTTGTACGGCCTTGTTTCATTTTTAAGTAGCACAGTTTTTAGGGATTTTCTCAGAATTCTGCGGGCATACGGTTTTAAGTTTAATTTAACGTAATGAGTTGTTTACTGATTGCGTTTATAGATTTTGGGTTTTTTTTTTAAATTCATTTGCATGTCGCGGTCTGTGATTTTTTTGTTGTTTATTCCGAAGAAAATGTTTTCTTAAAGGTGAGTTGGGATTTTTTAACAGGAATTTCTAAATGTCACAGTGTTTTATTTTTTTTTCATTGTCTTGAAATGTGAATCATTTCCAATTGCTTAGATTGTATTTTAAGGTTTATTTTTAATTTGCTTTGCATTGTTTCAGGAAATAAGCAAAGCAAAAATACATTTCCAACACTTAATGTTAACTGTTATGTAATTTTGTAACACTTTTCCATAAATAGTTAGAACTCTAAGTTCGGTAACTAACACTGGTGATATTTTCCTAATCCAAGACTGATTTTTAAAAACGATTTCTTTTGTCAGCGACCATTTTGAATTCGTTTAAATAAAGAAATAAGAGGTCTGAATCAGAAAAACGTTGAATTTGCATAAAATCCATGTTATCCACAATTTAGTTTGTTTTCGCCTTTTAGTCATTTGGAATGGAGAAGCGGCCGAGAAACACCGCCACCGCCACTGGCCCAAAACAAATTAAACAACGCAAAAAAAGTAAACAACATCAAAAATAACGAAATTGAGCACAGAAACTTAAAAATACATTTCAAGGCGCGCGGAATGAAATAAAAAACAATTTACAATCGTCCACAAAAAACACACACACATGCTGTATGGTATTGAAATCATTTTTTAAAAAACACCCTTTTTTTTTCTTTGGGAAAATATTTGTTTGCACAGTTTTCAGTTATTGGTTTGAAATATTTGTTTGTTTAGGTTTTATTAGGGGGGATAAGGGGGGAGGGAGGGGGGCTCTGTTTTTGTTGTTGAATTGAAAACATTTCTCGAACAAGTTCCTCGAGTTATTTATTTATTTTTCAAGATTTCAAAAAACAGTTTTTGAAAATTATTGACAGGATATGTTTCACTTTTTGTTTCTCAACACTATTTTTTCTTAAATTATCAAACACCGTTACAAATTAAGGGGATATCCCAAAACAGAAGGAATCTTTTGGCCAAAACAAACTTTATTTACCGCTACGATTTTTTTCGGAGGCGCTGTTGCGCTTCTACTGCTCCGTATTTTCCCGTTACGCGCGCAATTGAGGCGTATACTTGATATTTGTAGCTAAAAGCTTTCCCGTTACAACCGCTCGCGAGCGACGTCTGATGGCGTCTGTTTCTGTTTCTCGACAAACACCGACAAACCTCCTATTGGCATCGATTTGTAAACGCACAGGCAGCGGCAGAGCAGACAGCAGCGACGTCGGCAGCGCTGCCGGCATCGCATTGAAATGAGCACAGAGTAAACAGTTGTTTCGTGGAAAAAACAAAACGAACATCGTAATGAAGTTCTCTTGCCTGTTGTGAAATTCTACGGTGCTTTGTCATGCTTAAAGCACTAACCATACAGCATATAGACAACCCATTTCATACAACGAAAATGGACGCGAAAATTTCTTGCTACAGGCCCCAGCAGGCCCCAGAGCGGATTTCTTACGCTCTCTTACGCTCATCGTTCGTTCATCTTACGCTCATTCTCGCATTAAATGTTTTCTGTTTCTCAGTCTCTAAACGGAGCGCGATGAAGAAGGTTGGCCTGCGCTTCGGTTGATCTTTGTATGTATGCGTGTCACACATTCACATACATGGGTGTATGTGTGCGTGCGATTTCGTTTCGAAGCCAGCGCACAAAATTTTGATTTTTCTTACTTTTTAAGGCTTGCTACCCTAACAAAATTCGGGTATTCGTTATTTGATGAAATGACGAAAGAAATTATATTATTTTTGTATTATATTTTTTATTATTTCAGCATACATTTTTAATTTATTTAGGAATAAGATTAAGTGTTAGTAGTAAAATGTTTTCTGTATATATATTTTTACGAATCATTAAAAATCAATATACTGAGAAAGTGTCAGAGTATATTTCGGTCGGAGTCACTTAAAGCGCCGTTTGCTTTTAAGTTTTTGTTGTTCTGCAAGAGGCTTGTGCATGCCTACTCTAACGATGGAATGATTTTTAGGGGAGGGTGAAGACACGAAAACAGCTGATGGACTTGTTTACCTTTTTTGTTTACAATTTTTCAGGCACTTGTTATTATTTTGGGTTATTGTGAGATTTAATTAAATTATTGTCGTTAATTTAATAATTTCCTTATATATATTTCCTTATATATAATAACTTTAAAAAGTAATTTAATTCTTCACCCGTCTTCACCCTCCCCTAAAAATCATTCCATCGTTAGAGTAGGCATGCACAAGCCTCTTGCAGAACAACAAAAACTTAAAAGCAAACGGCGCTTTAAGTGACTCCGACCGAAATATACTCTGACACTTTCTCAGTATATTGATTTTTAATGATTCGTAAAAATATATATACAGAAAACATTTTACTACTAACACTTAATCTTATTCCTAAATAAATTAAAAATGTATGCTGAAATAATAAAAAATATAATACAAAAAATAATATAATTTCTTTCGTCATTTCATCAAATAACGAATACCCGAATTTTGTTAGGGTAGCAAGCCTTAAAAGTAAGAAAAATCAAAATTTTGTGCGCTGGCTTCGAAACGAAATCGCACGCACACATACACCCATGTATGTGAATGTGTGACACGCATACATACAAAGATCAACCGAAGCGCAGGCCAACCTTCTTCATCGCGCTCCGTTTAGAGACTGAGAAACAGAAAACATTTATTGCGAGAATGAGCGTAAGATGAACGAACGATGAGCGTAAGAGAGCGTAAGAAATCCGCTCTGGGGCCTGTCGCAAGAAATTTTCGCGTCCATTTTCGTTGTATGAAATGGGTTGTCTATATGCTGTATGGTTAGTGCTTAAAGCAATAACAAAATGCAGTGGGGGATGGGGATGGGGGAGCAGTGATAGGGATAGCGGTGAGAGTGAGTTAAGAGAGAGAGCGGGTGCGCGCCAAAAAAACAACAAGCAGACTTACAATTGGGGCTAAGAGAGTAGTGGGGACTATTTTTTTTATGAATATTATGGTAGTTTAATAAAAATATATTATATGTATATATGTATATAAATTCCCATTTACATGAAATATTAAAATGAATCAATGATAACAAGGTCGTCCTATTTTTTTATCCTTTGCTGTGGCCAGTTGTTTTGATAAAGAGAAGAAACAAGGCCAACAACAACAACAACAGCAGCATGATGGGGAGAATGCGATGAGGTGGTGTTAGTGGATATGGGGAGGGGGAGGTGGTGGAGAGGCCGCTTCTTGGGCCGCACCGCACACACACATACCAACACACACCCAGCCGAGTCAAACAAACAAATAAAATGTGAAGCAGAAATGGCAAAAAATTAAACAAACAAGTAGACAGGAGCGGTTCAGCAAAAAAAGAGTGAGTTGAACGAACCGAGGTCGTTGCAAAGCCATAAAAAAAAAAACAATCAAAAGCTTATTGGCGCCAAAATGAAACGAAATTTCTACTACGCCGTAGTATAATTCCAAAAAAAAAAACAAAAGAAACAGAATTCAGATGTTTTACTTTGATAGGAAAGAGAAAGGTTCATTGAAAAAAATAATTAATTGGGTATTTAAGAATTTTATTAAAATTATGGTTTCAAATACCCTTAATATTAATATTAAAAATATTTAATAAATAACACCTAATAAGTTTCTAAAAATCAAAACTTTATAGTATTCTAATAATTCTTTTAATAAAAAAGACTTAATCTTAATTTACAAAAAATATATGTAACTTGTAAGACTTCTCATTTTTTAACTTGGAAAATTATTTCCTGCTTTTCTGTTTCATACAGCTTTCCTTCTGTTTCTGTTTCGGTTTCTATTTATTTTTTGTTTAGTTTTGTTTGCTCGTTAGCTGAAGTGGGCGGGCGGTACAGTAGGGGCTGGCAGGTGCTCCATCCGCCCATCCACCGTACCCATTTGCTCTAATGCTATCTCTTTTGTTCTACGCTGCTACGATGGCAACCTCTATTTCAGAACCCCCCACCCGCCCCTGTCCGATGGCTTGTTTGTTTGTTTTTCGTGGCGTGTTTTATTGTTGTTTTTGTACTTGGTGCGTAGTTTTTACGTTCGTCATCGTTGGTATTTCCGTCTTCTGCCGGCGCCTCTGCCCCAAAGCTCTGCCGCAGCGCCGCCTTGAGGTTGTTGTTTATATTGTCTTATTTTTGCCTTGCAATTTCTATTTGCTCTCTTTTCGGGGGGGCTTTTGTTTTTATCTCAGTTGGCTCTCTTTCGCTCTTAGCCTTTTCCTTAACGAAGTCTCTGCTGGTGCTGCTGCATATTCTGCAAAGTGCATTGCGTTTTTGTTGGCTGCTTTTGTCTTTTGTTTGTTATTGTTTTTGTTTTTGTTATTCCCCCTCGTGCGCAAGTTCTCAATTCACGTGCTGGGCTTCTGCCACCCACCTTTCTCCTGCCTCTGTCTAGCCCATTGTCTAGCCTTCTCTATCGCTTTCCTACTGTATGTTTTAGTTTCGTGTTCTTGGGGCGAACTTTGTTGTCCCGTTACTTTTTGGGGGCACCTTGGGCACTGTGGATTATATAAGTTCAAATAATGCTTTTAAAATAATATTTTTGGAAATGTTACTAATCTTAAGTTAAAAAAATATTTTAAACTCATAATGATCTGAATTTTTTTAAACTCAAATTTTAATCTTATCCACTAGTCAGAACCCTAAAAAATAATCCAAATGTCATTCCAAAATTTTTGGAACTGTAACCCATGATAATGACGATAACATTTAATACTTCCTTAAAGTTGATTAATTTTCTTTTGGTCATTGTATGGGTCACATTGGACATTATTTGGACTCAATCTCAAAAAAACCGCCAAGTCATCGTTTACAGGGCACTATTTAATCGATGCGACCCACTGTGAAGGCCGCATGAGAAATGCTAATTAGTACAAATTCGTTTGTCACAATTTGACAGAGAGAGCAAGACTCTTTCTTTTTCGCGAGTAATCAAATAAGAAAGTTCGACAGGGCCAGAGGGAGGTGAGGATGTTGGCAAGGGGTTAGTGAAGTAAATGCTGCCCGCCCTCGCATCTCTGCCGCAGTCTCTGCCGGCGTCGGCGGCGTCGCAGCAAACAAACACTTGTTTGCACAGGAGAACCATACTGAGAGAGTTCTAGGCCCCAAAATCACACTCTTTCAATGAGAGAGTGGGATAACGAAGATGAGAGAGAGCAAGCGCAAAGGCAGCTTTTACCATGTGTGTGTGTCTGAGTGTGTGGGTGAGTGAATTTACAACTAGGAAGCAATTTCGCTTGTTTACAATGTTTGTGCGTGGGTGGGCATTGAAATAAATAAGTGGGAGCGGGATAGAAAGCTAAAAAGCAGCGCGGGTGGGGGTAAAAACTGTCCCTGACTACCAGATATTAAGTCGTGTCGTGTCTTGACCGCTCCACACCACACTCTAACAGCGGCTATTCTGCTGGCGTCAATGACAACGTCGACGCTGGCAGCGACGCAACTGAAGGTCATTATACATTTCGCATTTCGCTGTCGCTGTCGAGACGTACGATGTCTTCTTCTTGCTCTATTGTGGGCCCACTATCTTTTGACCATTTTATGTTTCTTGTTGGTGGAGGGGGGTGTAGGATGTTTTATCAAAAAAGCTGCAGACATCTATCTTTAGGTATTTAATTAAAATATAAAAATAACTACAAGACTTTATACCTGGTTGGGCCTACTGGGCGTATGCGTAATATATCTAGAATTTGGGAAATATCTTAAAAAGATGATCTTGAGCTTCTTTTTTTTTGAAGACCTTTTTGCATTGATTCTGACTTGTTTTTTGGGGTTGCCTTTTTTTTAATTGTTTTTTTACTTCGGGCTGTGGAATTGTGTAAACAGCAGCGACGGCGACGTCAACAGAGAAGCCGCCGCCACAACAAGAAAGGCAACGCAGGCATAAGAGTAAACAAAAGTATACATATATTTTTTTTTTCGCATTTTGCAGAGACAATGCAAGAAAGTTGGGTCGTGGCTTGAAGGCTGTGAAAAGGGGCAGGCAGGCAGGTTTGGATGGTCAGGGGGGGTGGGCTGAAGAAGAGGAAGAAACAGAAGCAACACAGCAGACAGAGGGACAGAAAGACCGAAAGCAAAGTTAATGAAGATGAGCCTGATGAGTTTTGTTGCTCTTGTTGTTTTTGTATTCGGTCGCCTTTTGTTGTCGAGC